TATATATATATATATATATATACATAAATATATAATATATAATATATAATATATAACAACATGATGAGGGATAGCACACTGTATGACTGTTATTAATTACTTTAAAAATGTTACAAATCAAAATAATAAATATTTTTGCTGTATATTCTTATAAACACAGCCTCATATATCTTATAGACATTATATATAAATATATATATTATATATATATCAATATATATATATATATATGTGTGTGTATATCAATATATATATATATATTGAATTAAACAATAAATAAAATGAAGAAGAAGAGTAAGAAAGAAGACAGCGCTCTAGAGAGCAAACAGCAGCAATAAAAACATTGATAAAAACAAGCATCTAAGTAATAATAATAGTAATAATAATAAATAATAATAGTATTATTAATAATAAGATTAATAATATTAATATTAATATAATAATAATAACAAATGACGGCGCAAATAATATACTGCGTAAAATAATATGTTTTTATTTATTTATTATTTTTATTATGATATATCTTCGTCTGTAAAACAATCTGCTTACTATAATATAATATGCTTTTGTTTGTTTCTTATAGAGTAGCAGCAACAGCAGCAGCAGCAGCAGCAGCAGCAACAGCAGCAGCAGCAGCAGCAACAGCAGCAGCAGCAGCAGCAACAGCAGCAGCAGCAGCAGAGAGGGTTGGCAGGAACTGCCTGTGCTGTCTCTGTCTCTCTTTCTTTTATTTGTTTTTATCTGTCTCTCTTTTACTTCTTTTATATTTTTTATCTTTCTGTCTTTGTCTATGCATTTTTAAAGTCGAAGGCAAAGACAGAAAGATAAAAATCAGAAACCAGCGCGGTTGTTGTTGCTGCTGCTGCAGCACCTGCTACTCTGCTGCAGCAGCAGCTGCTTCCCCGCAGCAAACTATTCGTCTGCTGCAGCAACAGCAGCACCAGCAGCTGCAGCAGAATAGCTGCTGCAGCAGCTGCTGCTGCAAGCGCTTCAGAGAGCTTCATTTTGCTGCTTGGGAGCGAAGAAAGCCAGCAGTTGATTTGCTGCTTCTGCTGCTGCTGCTACAGCAGCAGCTGTTGCTGCTGCTGCTGCTGCTGCTGCTGTTGCTGCTATTGCTGCTGTTGCTGCTGCTGCTGTCAAAGTGCAGCGCGTTGCTGCCTCTCCTGTACGTGGGAGTTCCAGTCTCGCTGCTGCATCCAATTAGCCTCATGGCTTTGCTGCTGCTGCTGCTGCAGCATATGCTGCTGCTGCTGCTGCTGCTGCTGTTTGCTGCTAGGAAGAAGACCCGAAACATCATCTTCTAATTCTCCTTTTGCTTTAAGTTGTTTGAAGAAAACGCGGTGGTCAATTGGCTGCCCATGACCCTCAACAAACGTCCCTGCAAAACCACAAACCCTAAACCCTAAACCCTAAACCCTAAACCCTAAACCCTAAACCCTAAACACTAAACCTAAGCTGTAAAAACTTTCTAAAGGCCCTCGCAAACCCTACTACCCGACTAGGAGTAGCTCTTAGCTCTAGCACAACTGAGGCGAGAGCTACAGGCGTTGCTGCTGCTGCTGCTGCTGCTTGGACGTTCTCTTTCTTGTGCTGCAGCAGCAGCAGCAGAAGCAGCAGGCAGCAGCAGGAGATTGCTGCTGCTGCTGCTTAATACTTATTAACGTACGCACCATCTAGAAACGTCTCCGAAGGCTTTGCATGCAACTTGGAGCAAAGGAGAGCCCCTAGGGCCGGTGGCAGCTCCTGCAGCAGCAGCAGCAGCAGCAGCAGCAACAGCAGAAGCAGCGTGGGTTCGCCTTGTTGCTTTTACTCTGCCAGCAGCAGCAATGTGCTCGGCTTGATGAAGCAGAATCTCTTATCTATAATAATGCATTTATGCTTCTTATCTCCTGTACTTTCGGGTGTCTCTGCTGTCTGTCTCTGCTTGTCTCTGTCTAAACCTAAACCAATTCATCCTTATTATTGCTGCTGCGTATTGCTGCTGCTTATTGTTGCTGCTTCTGTTGCTGCTGTTAATTGCTGCTAGTTAATGCTGCTTTTTCTTGTTGCTGTTTATTGCTGTTACTTATTACTGTTGCTGATTGTTGCTGCTGCTTCTGTTGCTGCTGCTTCTGTTGCTGCTGCTTCTGTTGCTGCTGCTTCTGTTGCTGCTGCTTCCGTTCTCTGCGAGTGCATCCCTTTTAAGGAGACATTTTGCCTCAATTTTGTATTTGTTTGGTTTTGGAATTGGCTGGGTTGTGTCTGGGATCGATGGGATCGGTGGGGTTTGTGGGGTTTGTGGGGTGTGTGGGGTTGTTGGGATCGTTGGGATCGGTGGGATCGACTGACAGTTCCGTCTCTGCTCTTTTTCAGAGGTAAATCGTCGTTCCATGGATTTGTTATTTTGCCGACTTCTTCAAACTCTAACTTCGATTGCTTCAACCAACAAACCCGAAAATTAGGGCCCAACTTCAGCTGCACAGAACCCCACAAACCTACACAGCAGCAGCAGCAGCAGCAGCAGCAGCAGCAGCAGCGACACAATAGCAGCAGATGATGTGCCATCAGGAAATACAGCAGCAGAAGCAGCACGAGGAGACAGACAAATGGAGACAGATGAAAGCAGACACACAAAGAAGGAGACAGACAAACGGAGACAGCTAAAAAAAGACAGACAAAGGGAGACAGACAAAGGGAGACAGACAGCTGAAAGGAGACAGATAAAATAAGACAGATAAAAGGAAACAGACAGAAGGAGACAGCTAAAAGAAGATAGCCAAACGGAAGCAGCAACAAAGGAGACAGATAAAAGTCAACAGACAAAAGACAACAGACAAAAGGATACAGTTAAAAGGAGACAGCCAAAAGGAGACAGCCAAAAGGAGACAGTTAAAAGGAGACAGCCAAAAGGAGACAGCCAAAAGGAGACAGCCAAAAGGAGACAGTTAAAAGGAGACAGCCAAAAGGAGACAGCCAAAAGGAGACAGCTAAAAGGAGACAGTTAAAAGGAGACAATTAAAAGGAGACAGCCAAAAGGAGACAGCCAAAAGGAGACAGTTAAAAGGAGACAATTAAAAGGAGACAGTTAAAAGGAGACAAATAAAAGGAGACAGACAAAAGACAACAGACAAAAGGATACAGTTAAAAGGAGACAGCTAAAAGGAGACAGTTAAAAGGAGACAGTTAAAAGCAAAGTCGTACGAGGGTATAGGTGTGGAAGAGGAGGCGTCATCATCCTCGCATAACCCTGAAAGCCTCCGCTTTCGTTTGCAGAGAAGAGCAGCACAACATGAGCAGCAGAAGCAAAAGCTTGCGTCAGTCTTCTGGTGTTGCTGCGGCTTGTCGCCCAGCAGCCGCGGTGTATAGACAGATATATATTTATCATTTGGCTAGACTTCACAATAAAAAATCTTTTGCTGCTCTCAACTGCAGCAGGAACCCCCCAAGCATCCACCAGCAAAGGCACGTACAAACCCTCCCCGTTACTGCTGCTGCTGCTGCTGCTGCTGCTGCTGCTGCTCATGCTGTTGCTGCTGCTGTTGCTGCTGCTGCTGCTGGAGCTGCCGCTCGCCACAACC